TGTACTGAGCTGCAACCCATGTTTCCAGGCATAAGTTCCTAGTCTTCTAACACAGCATGTGTCAAATAGCCTCAAAAGGCCATCCTCATGCCAAACACCAGGAACTTAGAATGACAGCCGATACTGATGAGTCAAATATGAAGAACCTAAAAGATTTCAGAACGTCCATCATAAGTTTCCAGATTTATGAATCCTGAAACTGGAAAAAAATCCCTACAAATATTCAGAATTTACAAAAAACCAAAATTACAAAGCTGGAATATGTAAAGACGCAAACTTTAAAACATTTGCAGTTGGGCTCAGTGAAACAACAGACAGTGACTCAGTAAGCCAAACAAGCCCTCACAGCCTCCAGGCCTGAGACAAGAACACATGACCCAGTGTTTATATGATTCAAGTCACAGGTGGAGAGGAAAGCAGAGTCACAAGAGACACTGAACAACTCGGATTCGGTGAAGGACTCAAACATGCAGATCCCTGGAGAAACAGACCCTGAGCAGGATAGTACAAAGCCACATCAAGAAGCACCCCATAAGTCTATGAACACTAAACACAAGAACTGGGTGGCAGAATGGCTCAGCATGTAGAGGCACCTGCTGAAACAGGCAGAGCTAACTTAAGTTCAAGGCCAGCCTGTCTACTTAGTGTCAGGTCAGCCAGGACGCCATAGTAAGATGGTGTCTTTAAAAAAGAGAAAATGAAAGCCCGAGAAAAAATGGGCATTCCCTAAAGACACTAACCTGAATGACAGCTGGTCTCAGAAACTGTACAGGCCAGAAGGAAAATACATGATATTAAAGTGCTAAAAAGGAGCACCTGACAAGTCTATATTCAGGAAAACCTTGTTTCTGGAAGCAAAGTGAAAAATAGTTCAATTTCTCAGATGAAGTAAAACAGTGAATTACTGACCTAGTTGTAATGGGTGGCTAAAACCTTCAATATGGGTGCAGTGGCACACACCTTTAATCCCAGCCCTCGGGTCAGAGGCAGGTGGATCTCTGAGTTCAAGGCCAACCAGGGCTACATAATGGTCTCAAAAAACAAAGTTCTTCAAACACAGGAAATGACGCCTTTAGAAATTACAGATGGTGGTTAAATAGAAGTGACCCTGCCTGATGCCCTGATAGTGATGCTGGAAGTAGAGAAGAGGGTGGGTGAACGAGGGCGAACGAGGAGGCAACGAGGTAGAACAGAAATACACATATAAATGCATGTATTCTCAAAGAGGGCAGGGGCTGGGGTGCAGCAGTGGCGGGACACTTAACCAAGCATGTGTGAGGCCCTGGGCCTCATCGAAGTCGTGCCCCACCCCACCCACAAAGCAGAGGACACGAGATCCATCAAACATGGCAGGCGCACTGACCTCCCCACCCCCACGGGAGGAGCAGTCCTGCCAGGCCACAGAGAGGACTTTGCAGCCAGTCCTGAAGATACCTGACAAAACAGGGTCAGATGAAAGGGGAGGAATAGAGGAGGGAGGGAGGGTGGCATACAGCTGGGATACAGAGTTAATAAAATGTAACTAATAATAAAAATAAAATTAAAGTGATTGTTGGTACCCGGGAGCAGAGAGAGCTCAGGACCTAAGAGCATGCCCTGCTCTTCTGGAGGACCCAGCTCAGTTCCTAGCATTCACATGGTGCCTGTAACTCCAGCGTCAGGGGATGCAAAGCCCATTCTGGAATCATGAACGTGTACTCACGCATCCATAGCTGTGCACACACACACAATTAAAAAGTGTTTCTAATGTTGGTGCTGGCAGCGTTAATTCACACATGTGTATCGTAACACCCATAGCAGCCAGTAAAAGCTGCAGAAGAAGATTCACTAAATGACAGCTTGAACAGATGTGACTACAACATGCTGCCGCGTCCAGCTGAGGAGGCATCTTCTCAGATAAGCCAGTGAGCACCTGACAGGGTGCTCCACAGTATTCGTTGGCAAAGAACTTCTGAGACCACTCTCCAAGAAAGAAACTGGCAAAAGAAAAAGAAGCAAAGGCTTTGGCAATGCTGAGGATTCCACAGACCTCAATGAGAACAGGGGTAGCATCTCTAACTTAGGCTGGCTGCAACTCCACAGTAATGTCAAAAGCACGCAGCTCACCTTCACAGCCACCAGAGAGGACAGAATGTGGTGGGTGCTCTTTGAATCCTTCCTTCCCAAAGGAACATGCCTTCCTTAACAAATCTAGTAGCCTGCTTAATGAATCCACATGCAGGCCTCTTCTTGATTTGAATCAGAGTTCCATAAAGAGGGACACTTTCCCTGTGTTTCAAAACACAACTAACCAAGCAGTCATGTTCACGATCAGTAAACAAGTGAAATAATAAAAAATAACGCCACCATACTGTGAAAGGAACTTTTATTCACCCGGTTCAGTTGTTGTCTCAGAGGCTCACTGCCTTCTGCTGACGTAGGCCTACTCCTGGCAGCTTCTAGCCTTCGTACCATTTAACCTGGGACTAGAACATTTTCAGCCTCTGAGACTTCCTGCTGAATAAGCTCACCTGTACTTGCTCTTTCTGAGCTCTAGGCTGGCTGGTTAACTCAGCTGTTCTGGCCCAAATTCTCCCAGCTGGCTTATTCAATCTGGCTCCTCATTCTCTGGCTTCAACCTCTGCCTTCAACCTCTCTCTGTAAAACTCTCCTGGTAAAACTGTCCCCCCTCACCCCTTAAGTAGTTTCCCCTCTATTCTGGTAGAGTTGGGCATGTCCTATTCTGTCAAGTCTTTCTTCAATTTGTCACTGTTTCTGCCACTCAATTAGACATCACTTTCATACATGAGTGTTCCTTCTACAAACTAACTACACTTCATTGTTTGGGGTAAAAGGCATGTCTTACCATGCCTTGACATGAAACCTGCTGTATACCAGGCTGGCCTTGAGCTCAGATCTGCTTGCCTCTGTCTCCTGGATTAAAGGTGTGTTTGTATTCCAGTCAGGTTACACAGACCTAGAAGGTTTTTGGATGTGATCTGTTGCCAGAGCTGCCATGTTCCGAATTAAAATTCCTCTATACCATAGCAGTGTTAAAGGAATAGAATAGCAGTCAATTTGATGAACACTGGGGCTTTCTTATATGTGTAGAGCTCTCAATTCCATTCCTATTACCACAAAAATAATCACAAGAAGCACAGGTCTTGTGCCCTCAGGACCGCAAAGTACCACTGAAAGAGGCAAGAGGTCTAAAGTGGAAAGCCATCCTGTGTCCATGGCCCTTGAATGTACTGGAGAGAGAACGCCATTAGCCATCCTGACTGCACTGTCCCACCTCCTCAGCCTTTGTGGTGTGCACATGCCTCAACCACACTCTCCTGCAAGATCAGTAAGACAGCCAGCCTCACAGGGAGGGCTGCAGGTGTAGTCCAAGCTCACCCTGGTAGCCAAGCACAGCACTAGCCCCCAACCCTTCTTGAAGCAGTCTGCAGCGCCCCTCAGTGCCTTTTCTTCCACCAACTTTGCAGCAACAGGTGAAGCAACTGGTCGTCCTGTCAGCCGGCAGAGCTTCATCACCGTCCCCAAGAGTGTTCTAAAAGTATGTGGCCACAGGGTGCACAGCAACAGCTGGCCAAGTTCGATGTGTAGGACACCAGCAGTCAGGAGGCATTTGGAGCCCGAGTATGTCTACCACATGCACGTCCTTTGCACACACGTGAGCTATGATGTGTGTCATTATAATGTCTGATGTAACCTTAAATTCAATAGAAGAATGTGTCAAACTATCACAGAGATCTGTGTGAAAACATCGCTGTTGTGTGGTAATGTTAAGGACAGAAAGTGAAGGTAAAACCTGACCAGGATGGTCCCGATCATCTCAGAGGAGGATGACAACTTGAGAGAAAGGGAACCAGTCTGATTTCATAGAGGACTGCCGCTCGGGACGCTCGGCATGTGCACCCCTTTACTCAGCTAAGAAGAGCGGTGTTCAGTTCTGAGGTGATGAGGATGGTTGGGTTTCAGAATGAACGTGACCCTTAAAACATAGCTTTGGAACGCACTTTGTAGACCAGGCTGGCCTCGAACTCACAGATATAGGCCAGCCTATGCTATTTGAGGCTGGGTGGGCTGGAGAGATAGCTCAGCGGTTTAAGAGCACTGACTGCTCTTCCTAGAGGTCCTGAGTTCAATTCCCAGCAACCACATGGTGGCTTTCAACCATCTACAATGAATCTGAGTTCCTCTTCTGGTGTGCATGAAAACAGAGCATTCATATACATTAAATAAATAGATAAACCTTAAAAAAAAATAAATAAAGGTGTGCGCCACCCCTGCCCTGCTTGCTCTTTTAAAATTTTAAAACAAGATTTTTATTTTGCGTGTGTTTGTCTGTTTGTGCGTGCCTGTGCATGACGGTGGCTGTAAGGACTCAGAGAGGCCATTCGATCCCCTGAAGTTGGAGTCACAGTGTGAGCTGTCCTGTGGGTTCTGGGAACTGAACCTGGATCCTCTACCTTTGCCTTCCAGAATTTCAGCACCCCCTGCTTAGCCCCTGGCCTCTGCTCCAGATCACCTCCAAAGTATCAACGCATGACTTTGTAATTTCACTCAAATCGTCCGGGGAGGCGGACCTGGGGAATTCTATGTCCGGCCGGCCGGCACTTAAGGTCTACAAGCACTGGCCGCCAACCCTTCCGGGCGCGCAGTCTCGGCTGCTGCTGTCCCCTCGCGGTGCCAGCTTTGTGGCGACGGGTGAAGTCACTGGTCCTTCTGTTACTGGTTGACAGTCCGGGGCACGGGGCCAATACAGGATCACCAGGATCGCAGGTCCGGAGCGGCGCGCGCTCGGCCGGTTAGACAGCACGGGCCGCGCGGTGGCCACAGCAAGATTGTCCCCAGCGCCACCCCACTACCACCTGACCCCACGCAGCCAATCAACCAGTCAAGGGCGGAGGTCCCCGCGCGGCTCGCCGCCGATTGGCCGGAGCCCCGCGCGCAGCCAATGCGGATACCCGGGGACCCGAGGCTCCGCCCTGTTGGAGACTCGAGACCTTCAGTCTTGAGGTGACTGGTCAGAGATCAGGGGATGGACGCGGCGCAGAAGGGCGCGCGGGTCCCTGTCGAGAGCCCGCCCGGCAGGTGCGCTCCCTCCGGGAAACTCGTGGGGCCTGGGGACAGCTGGGGGACCACTGTGAGGGACTGGCGAGCCTCGGGGGCAGGAGTCCGAGGGACGCTCAGATGAGTCAGGTCACCCGACCAGAGAAAAAACGGGCCACCCCCGAAGCCGAGCACACAAGGGGGACCGCGGGTGAGAGCTGTGCCGAGGGTGGCCGCATTGCCCTCCCGGGTTTCGGGCTCCTTCCAAGGGCATCGGGTCTAAGAGGCCGGAGCTGGCAGCCGAACTGCAAACATCCAAAGGAATCGCTGCTGCTTAGAGAGCAGGGAGGACAGCGTGGGCTTGGGATAGGGGAGGAGTTGGGGCACGATCCATGAGCCCATTTGATTGCCTCGAGGTGAAAAGTGGGCCTTGGAGAGGGAGCTCTAGGTACACCTGGACGGTAGAGGAAACCTACAGGCCCTTGCTCTGCTCAGTGCTGAGGGACCTCCCGCCTGGCGCTCAAGAAGCAGGGGTGGTGTGCCGTCCCTGATTCAGGGTTCTCCCACCCAGAGGAGAGGAAAGCATCCTCTCCCTCCCCTCTCGTCTGTTTCTCTCTCTCTCCTCTCCCTCTTCCCCACTCCGGCTCCACAAGGGCCTCCCTCTGCAGTCCAGGCTTCGCCTGCTGGGATTACAGGCTTGCCCTCTCGTTTATTTGTTCTCGTCTTCTGTGCCCATGCCTACGATATGAGATGCCTGTCTTACTCTTAAAATTTTGAGTCTCGACGGATGTGGTGGAACATGCGTAGAATCCCAGCTCTGGGGACTGGAGGATTGTGGTTTGGATGATAAGCTGTCTCCTAAAGGCCTCTCAGCCTGGTGGCCTGAGCCTTCGCTAGACATTCATTAAGCAGTTTCACTTTCTGCCGGAAGCAGTGACTGAGCATCATCTGTCAATCACTGATAAAATGCAAACGATAAACACTGCAGCCAAGCTGTAGTTGGGAAAGCCGCAGTCACTTGGCAGGCCAATGGGTGTGCAGCCCTGTGGAGCGCTTCCTATAGGGTACCGAGCCTTGCAGGGTCAGGTGATTCTGTGGGGCTCGCAGCAAAGATGCAGCATCAAAGCTCCTGCCTGTTCTGTTGTGGTCTTTGGCATAATGGACACAATTAGTCATTGTGTTTGGGTTCACGGGTGCATTGGCTTGAGCCCTATTTATTTATTTATTTATTATTTATTTAAAATCAAGTGAAATAATTATTATTTTCAGGCCCTATTGCCTACCATAGAGATTTCTGGAGGTCTGTGACACAAGTAGACAGCTCTCCTCAGTGGGGGTCTCTTGGCCTTTGCACTCTGTGTTAACCTGTGAATGGAGCCCCTTCTGGGTGACAGCCTTGCTAGGGCTCAGAAGACAAAGCCTGCTTGTTCCTGGAACTACATGACACCAAGCATGTGGCTCTTGAGTCAGGAAGACAGGGCAGGAGGGAGGGAACATTGCAGCCTGGAATGCCCCAAGGGCCAAGTTGGGGCCTGCGGTTTCAGACAGAACCTCACCCAAGCAGGTATGTTGAAGGGTGACTTCAAAAGGTTTAGGTACAGAGAAAACAGAAAATGCAAGCCTGCTCCAGAGAGAGACCTACCTGGTGAAAGCCAGAAGGAGGGAAGAGCCAGAGGACATGAAGCCTACTGCTTCTAGAGGCCACTCCAGGAGTAGGGACGGGAGCTGATGGCTAATGTCTGGCTCCCAGCCATTGGCAGTTCTTCCTCCCTGGAGGCTAGTGCGGGGCAGGTCCTGGGTGCTGGGATACCAGGGTGTCTCCCATCAGGAGAGGTGAAGCCTGATGCTCTATCCGGGCCTTCACTGTGCATGCAGAGGACCCTAGCTGTGAGCCCCCAAAGAGTGCTGCTGCCTACACCCTGCCTTCCTTCCCTTCACAGGCTGTTCTTCTTTCTTCCAGGAAGATCTATATGGACTACAATGCCACCACACCTCTGGAGCCTGCAGTCATCCAGGCTGTGACAGAGGCCATGAAGGAAGCCTGGGGCAACCCCAGCAGCTCATATGTGGCAGGTAATTCTAGAAGAATCCATAACCATAAGGGAACCAGAGGTCTTTAAGAGAAAGTGAATACTAGCCTGGCTTGGTAGCAAAAGTCTTTAATCCCAGCACTCGAGGCAGAGGCAGGCTGATCTCTGTGAGTTCAAGGCCAGCCTAGTCTATAAAGTTAATTTCAGGACAGCCATGGGATTGGGTATAGACTTTCTTTTTTCTTTCAACTTTAAATAACACATTTTCCCATATGTACAGGGACATTATTATAAAATCTAGTTATTACAATGTCTACATTGCTTAACAGAATTCCCAAGAGTTTTGTTAAAGCACACTTTTACTTTTTGTTGTTGTTGTTGTTTGAGACAGGTTTTCTTTCTGTAGCCCTGGCTGTCCTGGACTAGCTTTGTAGATCAGGCTGGCCTCAAACTCAAAGAGATCCCCTTGCCTCTGCCTCCCAGAGTGCTGGGATTACAGGTGTGAACCACCAGGCCCCGCTAAAAACCACTTTTAAAAAACTGAAACAAAATAATTACATTTTAATCTTTAAACATTGTGTCACTAAAGTTTACATAATGTTTTCTCTGTAAATCAGCACCATGTTACAATAATCTTAAAATCTTCTAGCCCTGTATGATATTCTAGCTAGGAACAGTACACTGACACATTTTCTTTTTACATTTAATCCTTCCTTCCTTTCTTCCTTCCTTCCTTCCTTCCTTCCTTCCTTCCTTCCTTCCTTCCTTCCTTCCTCCTTCCCTGCCTTCCTCCTTCCCTCCCTTCCTCCTTCCCTGCCTTCCTCCTTTCTTTCCTTCCTCCTTTCCTGCCTTTTTCCTTTCTTTCCTTCCTCCTTCCCTCTCTTCCTCCTTTCTTTCCTTCCTTCCTTATATGAGCATTGTGCATCACACACTCAGGTGTCAGAAGACAACCTACATGAGTCAGTTCTCTCGTCCCAAGATGAAGCACATCTTCAGCAGACAGCTTTAGAATTTTTTTCTGGTAAGTCCCTGATTGTATCTGGAGCCTTGCTGTCACCCCGATGGTTGTGACCTTTCAGGCTATAGTGTGCCCCCTCCCCCCATGAAGAAGAGCTCACTGAGATATGTTTATAAGCCTATGTCTAATAGTCACCTTTTATGAGACCAGCAGTCTTCCCCATGCATTTTGGCAATGAACTTTTCAGCCTACGTACGTATGTACATATGTTGCCCTTTCTCAAAAACGAAAATCACAGGGCTGAGGTCTCAGTGGATAAAGCGCTTGCTGCACAATCATGAAGATCTGGGTTCAGATCCACAGAAGCTGTATAAAAGCCTGGCAAGCATGGCAGCTGTCTATGTCTAACAGTCATGAGGCAGAAAACGGGACCTCCAGGACAAGCTGACTAGCCAGATCAGTGAGTCTCCAGGCTCCAAACCCTGCCTCAGATTCAGCAGGAGACCCTAAATATAACAGAAAGTACCAAGGAAGAGACTTTACTCAATCTCTGGCTTCCAAATGCACCCAAATGTGCAAACATGCATGCACAGCACAGCACATATACATGAACACATGCACAACACAGTGAATACACATGCACACACATGCAAAATAAAGTAAAATAAATTTGAAAAAAATAAAGACAAATAAAGTTTGAATTTGTTGCTTGGGATGTGTGTGTGTGTGTGTGTGTGTATTCCTTTTGTTTGTTTGTTTGAGACAAGGCTTCTCTGGAACTCACTCTGTAGACCAGGCTGGGCTCAAAATCACAGAGATCTGCCTCCTGTGTGCTGGGATTAAAGGTGTGCACCGCCACCACCTGGCTCATAATTATATTTTTATTTCTTTCTAGTTTGTCTTTGTAACACAAAGGGTTACATTTGAAGTTTTGGATGATAATTTGCTTCAGGTCAGTAGTTGGAAGACAGCATTCCACGTTTTTCTACAGACTTGGAGGCTAAGGCTTTGCCTTGCTAGCTAATGTTTCTCAGCAGGATGGCAAGGGCCCTGCCCCAGCCCTGTGCGGTGCATCACAGTGACTAAGATGAACCGCATTCATGGTGGTTTATTAGGAACTGGGGGACTTAAGGTGACGCACACCAACTGACTCTGCCACAGGGGGGCCCAGGCCCGGGTCTTATTAGCACCAAGGTCTCTCCTAAAGCAGTTCATTGGCCTTCATACCAGTTGCTTATTGAATTAGTGACACAGACTTTCCAAATCGATGCTAGTCACTCATTAGCTTGTCTGTTGGCTCGTTTCTGGACATTGCTTCGTCCAGAATGTCTCCTGTAGTATAACCAAACTTCTGATAGGATACACTAGAGAAGGCTAAGAAGATTATCGGAGGGGCAAGCAGTTAAGAGACTGTTCCTGTCCTGGGTAAAAGTCCAGCTGCTTTCTGTGGATATTTGAATCAAAATGCCAAAAAAGGAGAGAAAAATGAAAATACTCATCACAGATTTTTGTTTGTTTGTTTTCAAGACAGGATCTTACTATGTAGCTCTGGCTGTCCTAGAACTCAGTCTGTAGACCAGGCTGGCCTCGAACTCACCGAAACCCACCTGTGTCTGCCTCCCAAGTGCTGGGATTAAAGGTGTGCGCCACTATCCCCAGCTCATCACAGATGTTTCAGTGTTTCACAATATTAGGTTTTTCAATCTAGGGCAGCTTGCGCTGAGGTTCTGTGGGAAGCATTTGGGTGTTCCAGATGAGTCATGGCCTTGCTTGTAACAGCCAACAACAGCTGGAAGTAAGCTGGGGTGGGGGAAGGGTTCTGGCCAAATGATTGCACAGCTCGGGGAAGCTGGTATGGACCCAGCATCAAATTTGGGAGCCACGGTGTGTTGGCTGAGAGCCCCGTGGAGCCACCTTTCTCTGGCACACTGTGCAGTGGAGCTGGGCGGCAGCCAGGACACTTCCTGAGGGCAGGTGCCCTTGACCTCCCCTCTGTCTCCCAAGCCGGCCTGTAGGGCGAGAGAAGGCACCGACTGACTGACTTGGTGTGAGTTCTGTTTTGCTTACTTCTGTTGCTTTGCACCTCCTCTCCTTGTCCTGTCTTAAATGGGAAACTGAGCAGAGAGCCACACCCACCCCCTCTAGCATCCAGTAAGAAAGCAAAGGAAGCAAAGCTGTGCTGTGGGAGCTTGTAGGCCCCTCACCAACCAGGAGGTCCCCAACTCTCGCTGAGATCCTTAAGTCTGGGTGCTGACTTGCTAAGTCTCAATATGGCCCCTTTGCAGAGGTCCCACCAAGTGGTAGGAAAGCATACTCCAGATGGGTATGTCTCCTTCCAGAATCACCCCAGTTCTCAGCTTTCCTGTGTGTAGTTGCTGTGTTGGACATGACATTGATAGTAATGAACTTAATTATTTGTTTGTTTTCTTTTTCCTTTTTTTTTTTTTTTTTTTTTTGTCTTTCAAGGCAGGAAGGCCAAGGACATTATAAACACAGCTCGGGCAAGCCTGGCCAAGATGATAGGCGGAAAGCCTCAGGACATCATCTTCACTTCCGGGGGCACCGAGGTAGAGCTGCCTGCCGAGCCAGAAGGAACAGAAGGAACATCTGGCTTTGGGAGGAGTGTGTTCTTGGCGTTGTCATTTTAGAATCAGTAATGCCTGGGCTTTCTCCTTCACTGCTGTGGGATTCTTTTGTGATTTGTATCACTGAGTTTGAGGTTTCATCTGTCCCAAGGAAACTCATTTTTAAGTTGATAGAATGTACTTGAAAGAAACCTAGAAAGAAGATGCTGCGAGGCGCGAGGACAGTTGCTGGCTGTGGAACATGGGATCTTTCAACCATAGCGGTTTTTAAATGAAAAGTGAACTGGGATTTTTGATGCCAGTAATAGGCATCTGACAGGACATAAAAACTGTCTCCTACTTAGGAAATTGAGTAGAAAAAAGCCGGTAAGCCCTCCCACTGAGGTTAGCGATGTTACCGGGAGCCTTCTAAGAAGGTCTTAGAAAGACACCCTGCGTCCCACTTGCAGACTGGGGGACTTGGCTTCATTTTAAACTTATCTGTTGACTCAGTGAGGCCCCTGACAATACTCTGACAGCTGTCATGGACTCTCACAAACTAACTTATGGGGAAACTAAATGGCAAGACTTCTGGAAGATTACAAACCCAAGGAGAAGGCTGGATATTCCCCACACTAAGTCTGTAGAGTTCTGGTAACTCGGCAGACAGTTTTGTCAGGGACAGTTAGTCAGAAACAGCCTGCCAGTGGGGACTCTTGCCATGTGACTAGGTAGCCACAATCCTGCCTGCTCAGGGCAGGCCTGGACTGCTGGTACAGTCGGTACAGGAGTAGGCCATAAGATTGTCACGTGACTGAGCAAGCGTTGCACAGGACTGAAGAAAGTGCAATGGCAGGGACCAGGCATCAACTCTGGATTCAGTATGCAGAGATGGGACGGAGAAGTGCCATTAGAAAGTGTTCAGCTGCTGCCTCAGCTCCTCTGCAGTGTCTGCCAATGAGGGGTTTCTCAACGCAAAGGTGGATAGTGTTTGCCTTAAAGGAGAACATTTACTTGGGTAGCTGAGGCAGGAGGATCACAAATTTGGGCCAAAAGAAACCAAGAAGACACTGAATTCTGTCACAACAGAGATAACAAATAGACTTTGGATTTTCACAGAACAGTGAGGAGAGTGAACGAGCTGCGGGGAAAGCTGTTCATCTCACAGGGCTGGCTGCTGAGTGACAAGCACCCGGACAGACAGCTGGGGCTCACACAGCTTACTCACAGGCAGACAGTGCCAGCAGCAAACAAGTCGGAGATGTGCAGGCATGCAGCACAAGGGAAGCCTCAGGGCTTTCCATTCCGAAGCTCCTGCCACCAACAGCCAGCACACACCGGGGCCACCATGCCAAATGTTCACAGAGCGTGCTGCTGCTGCTGCAAGTGGGAAACTGAGGCAGTGTACCAAAACTCTAGATTCAGAAAACAGTCTTAGCAGTGGTGTTCATAATTAGCCCAAATCTGGGGTGGACCCAAACCTTCGGAGCTAGAACAGCTAAGTGCTGATCACTGGGAATAATATACCCCAAAGCTGGACGGTTGAGTCACAGACTCAGGTGAGAAAAGAAAGTCCAGGCGTGTAACTGCCAGGCTCCTGGATTCCACGCACATCACTAGGAGAGGAAGGTGCAGACCTGTGGGGAGGTTGATTCTTGAGCCTTTTGAAGTGTTAGGCACAAGAGAGAGGAACAAGTGAGAGGCTGTCTTCATTGGCAACTTGGGTGAAGGCCCTCTCCATTGTGTCTCCGCAGTCAAATAATTTAGTGATCCAGTCTATGGTGAGATGTTTCCATAAACAGCAGAGCCTGAAGGGACACGCGGTTGACCAGCGCAGCCCCGAGGAGGGGACCAGCCCTCATTTTATTACTTGCACGGTGGAGCATGACTCCATCCGCCTGCCCCTGGAGCACCTGATGGAAGAGCAAGTGGCAGGTCAGTGATCCTGGGGATCAACCTAGACCTCAGTGAGGGACCAGAGAGGCCACTCGGAGCCCAGTTCACTCACCCTATATGTGTGTAGTACTCCGATCTGGGTGTCTGCCGAATTTCATTGGCCCGTTCAGAAGCTGATGGCCAGCCACACAGTTCCTACTTTCAGCTGGTATGAATAATGCTGCCGTGAGCTGTTCTATGAGTGTTTGTGTGGGCAGTTTCTATTCTTGAGCTTGGACCTAGGAGCATAATTGCTGAGTCATACAGAAACTGAATTTGAGCCGGGATGGGGTGAAGGGAAGTGGTGCACGCCTTTAATCCCAGCACTCCAGAGGCAGAGTCATGCAGATCTCTGTGAGTTCCAGGCTAGTCTGGTGAACGGAGTGGGTTCAAGGACAACCAGAGCTACACAGAGAGACCCTGTCTCACAACTGCATTTGACAGATTTTTGGGTAGACATGATTAACCCTAGCCTTTACTTTCCAGGTCAGTGTCACCATCTGAGATGACCATCAGCAGTCTCTTGGCCCTGCCAGAGCCTCTTGTCTGTCTCTTCTGTCATAGTCACCATCATAGGCTGTACCTCTGTGGTCTTTCAGTGCCTAGCATCTTTTCCTGTTGTCTTGGCTCTGTGTGTACATCTCCTTTGTAGGACTGTCTGCTCACATTCTTGCCTTTTTTGTTTTGTTTTGTTTTTATTTTTGGTGTTTAGTGAGGATTGATGGCAGGGCCTCAAGTATGCCAGGCCAGTGCTCTGCCACAAATGGCAACCTCAGCCCCTTGCCCTAATTTTTACTGGAGTATTTATCTTTCTATTGATTTATAAGAATTTTACATATATTTGACACAAGTGAACAAAGTTTTGGTGAAGTTTAATTGCTTTTTGGTTTTGTTTGTTTGTTTGTTTTTGTTTGTGTGATATCTAAGATGACTTTGCTCTACCCCAGGTCATGAAGATTTAGTCTGTGGTGCACTGTGAGCTAGTAGAATTCATTTCTTTGTGTGAAATTGAACTCCTACTCCTAACTCAGAGTGCACCACAGACTTAACCATGAAAACCTCCTAGGCATTGACACAGGACCAATCTGCCTGCCCCTCTAGTGTGATGGAACCTGGCTTGGGTATTTTCAACTTTGGTTCACAGAGTTCCAGGGGACAAGGGCACCACAGCACATCATGGTGCTTCTCTCCCAACCTTAAAGCCAAGACTGCCCTGTGAGAGAACCCGACAGCTAACCCAGATGGGAATAAAGGGGGGAGGGGGTGCAGCTCCAGCTTCCAGGGCTGTCTTCAGATGGAGCCCTTTGCTCAGGGCTTGTCTGATGCCTGCCTGAATCTGGCCCCGGTGTACTGGCCTGCTATCCGCCAATCTTTTTGTTGCACTTTACAGGAATTACTTTTTCTGCTGTTAGTGTTCTTTTAAATAATTTTTCAAAACATGAGTGAATCACGTAATTCACGAATTCACGTAATTCCAGCTGAAGGACATTTAATGAATGTGCCAAGTGGAAGAACAGAACATACCGAAAAAGAAGATTTTCATTTTCTTTTCTTTCTCTCTTTTTTCTTTCTTTGTTTCTTTCTTTGTTTCTTTGTTTCTTCGTTTCTTTGTTTCTTTCTTTCTTTCTTTCTTTCTTTCTTTCTTTCCTTCCTTCCTTCCTTCCTTCCTTCCTTCCTTCCTTTCTTTCTTTCTTTCTTTCTTTCTTTCTCTCTTCCTTCCTTCCTTTCTTTTTCTTTCTTTCTCTCTCTCTTTCTTTCTTTCTCTCTCTCTCTTTCTTTCTTTTTAAAGGGGAGCATGATTGATCTCATATTTGGCACACAGCCACTGCCATGCACAAATCCATCCCAAGATGCAGAGCCTGGAGAGGGCCTGCTCGCATTAACTGTCTTTGTTCCAGCTTCTCTAATGAGTGTCCACCAGTGAAGGTACAGCAGCTGTTGGACTCTGCTGACTGTAGACAGAATCCAGCTGGAACCTGTTCCAGTTCTCTGTGTGCCCTTTGTCCTCTGACCCCGAAAGGCCCTCTCTTTGCTAACTCTCCCTGGGTGTGTCTGCTAAGGTGTCACCTAAGGCTTTGCCTGTTGCCGTGGTGCTTCTAGCCTCCTGTAGCTACTCCCCATGCAGGTCCTGCTGTTGTGAGAACGACCAGAGGCCCGAGCTGCTCCATGCACAGCACCGTAAATTCATTTCTAATGTTTTCTCAACTTTGATGATCATTCCCCTCTTAAAAATGCAATTATGCAATTATTTGCAATTATGCAATTATTGCTAATTAACCTTAGTATATATGTTTTGTATCTCAGAGGTCACTTTTGTCCCAGTGTCGAAGGTAACCGGGCAGGCAGAGGTTGAGGACGTCCTGGCGGCTGTCCGCCCCACCACGTGCCTCGTGACCATCATGCTGGCCAATAATGAGACTGGCGTCATCATGGTGAGTCGGCCTTTTCTTCTCAAGGAGGCCCCAGGGAAAAGTTTCCTGACTTGGGTATTTCCACGTGTCTCCACCAGGCCTGTTGTCTTTCTGTCCTTGACTCTGTGGCTTTGCTCTGTCCTCTGTCGCTCAAGTCATTCATTCCATCCCCATCAAATCAGAACTGCACACTCATTCAGAGGCTTGCCTCTCTTCCTGCTTCAGCCTGTCTCCGAGATCAGCCGGCGTGTTAAGGCCCTGAACCAGAGCCGCGCTGCCTCGGGACTGCCCCGAGTCCTTGTGCACACGGATGCTGCTCAGGCACTGGGGAAGAGGCGAGTGGATGTAGAGGACCTTGGCGTGGACTTCCTGACCATCGTGGGGCACAAGGTATGTGTGCAAGGGCCGCCTTCCCTCCTTGTTGATTAACAGCCACAGCAGACTGGAACCGTCAGCACTGCTGTTCATTACCAATTATACCACTGTCGTCATCCAGTGAGCGCCAGGTATCTGCCAGGGAGCAGGTGCTCAGGAAGGGCATGGTCCTCCGGAGCTTTCAGCGCATGTGTGGGACAGGACCAGTGACAGCTAGGATGACATCTGATGAACCATGACATGGATAGTAGGGGCAGCCCAGCCCACATGAAGCCAGGGAAGGACACAGCGGGCTCTGAGGAGGATGGGTGGCTGTGGGTTTGGTACACAGCGAGTGCTGGTTGCAGGGGCAACTTAGGGGAGACCTCACCTGCTCACATGGAGGACTCACTGGCATAGAAGAGGTGAGTCCAGGAAACTGTTGCTTCCTCTAACTTGATGGAACTATGACTTCTCTGCAGGAAGGTTTTGTCTCAGCAACTCTTCAAATTACAGTACAGAAACAAGGTCATAGCAAAGATGCCCAGAGCTTCCGTTTGACTCTCTGGCAGCTGACAAGGACATTCTGTGTTCTGTTTTGCAGCATAGTCCTCAGCTGGTCCCTAAAGGAGCACAACACTGGCCTGATACCAGGACACTTTACCCTTTGCTTCATATCACTGGGAAACAGAGGAACATGTAGGAAAAGCCCTGGGCCACCTCTGTTCTAGCCCCTTTTCCTTTACAATCCTATTGTGCCGTATGCAGGGCTCTCCCAGCATAGGGCTGGATCAGGAGTCCAGCACCTGCCCATCCTCAGGCTGGGGCTCTGCCCTGCACCTGGGGCCCTTGTGACTCTCAGACACCAAAGTGGAGGCAGATAGACAGCCCAGGCCACAAGGAAATGGCGGGACCACACTCCCAGGAGCACTTTGTGCCTCCAGCTCTCACACACAAATAGGACAGGTCCCAGGCGGTTCCCAGTGAGTAAATGACTGGCTTTCCCTTCCAGTTCTACGGTCCCAGGATTGGTGCTCTGTATGTACGAGGGGTCGGTAAACTTACCCCCCTGTACCCCATGCTGTTTGGAGGTGGACAAGAGCGGAATTTCAGGCCAGGGTAAGGTTGAATGTCCATGAGCTTCTGCCCGGCTGGCCACACCACTGTCCGTGAAGCCAGTGACTTTTCACCGCTTTTCTGTCTCAGAAGCACAGTCCACATTGCCCCAAATCAGAATCGGTCCTGATGATTGGTTTCTACAGTGGGGCTCAGAGCCTCAGTCTCGAGGCGACTCAGAGCACGTGACAGGAATTCCCCTTTCTCATAAATGTTTCAGAGCGTTGGGTTCCCTGTGCATTGCAGTGCACCACTGTTTTCTTCAGTGGGGGCTCAGCCGGCACAGAAGGCTCCCCATTCCCCTTTGTGAGAGCCGCAGGTCTCTCATGGTGCTATGACTCCAGATCAGTGCCTGCACCACCTTTGTTAGAACTTCTAAGGAGGAGACAGAGACGGTGCAAAAACAATAGTGGCTCCTTGGCGTGAGTTCCACCCCCAGGACCAGCCATCTAAAATGAGTGGTAAGGGAGGGCGAGAACCGCCTCCATCGGGAGCCCGCAGGCAGACCAGCCAATCAAGAAGAAGAGGCATTGGGCGGTACCTGCTCTAGCCCATCCTCACAGGGCAGTGTGCTGCTCACCAGCAATCACCAAGTAGACACCCAGGCTTCCACCCAGAGGCCCCACCATGGTGTCAACAGAGACCGGAAAGGGACCCTGGAGTCTGTGCATGGGCGACAGGACACATCCTCTCTGGGTATCAAGTGAGAGCCGTGGTCTGTACTTCCCACCAGCAGTGCTGCAATGCATACTCCTTCCCTGCAGAGCAGAGTCAGCGAGCCAGGAAGAGCAGGAAAGTTAGCTGAGATGCAGATTCTCAGAACACACGAAAATGGTCAGGTTTCATGCCAAGGACTTGAAAGATGTTAAAGTAAATGAAGAGCTCGTCAATGGACGCCAAGCCCAAGAGAGCACTATGAATGAGGCGGCCGTCGCCGTGGGTGCTGCAGTAAGGGACCGCGGGCACGCCTACAGTAAGTGAGCCACGTGGAAAACGCCGTGTAAAGACCACGTGGACATTTCAGAACCCCAGACTGCAGCAACCCAAGCGTCTGCGCGGATCGACTCGCCAGCAGGGTACCGAGACAAAGGAAAGAAGCACAAACTGAAAGAGAGAATAACAGAATTGAGACACCAGGGAATAGAAAACTAGACAGAGCTTCAAGGACCTCTGAGGCCTGGACACAGGTGACATGTGTGTCATTGAACTCCCTACAGAAGAGGAGACAGAGGACAGGGCTGAGAAGGCTACTTGAGAAAATGCAGGTGGCAATAGTGGGTCATGCCTTTAATCCCAGCACTCAGGACACTGAGCCAGGTGGAACTCTGGGAGGCAGAGGCTAGCCTGGTCTACATGAGTTCCAGGACAGAGTGAGACACTGTTTTGAAAAATATCAAAACCAAAATAATAATAATAATAATAATAATAATAATAATAATAATAATTATTATTATTATTATTATTATTATTATAGATAACCAGCATCTCAAATTTAGTAAGAAACATAAGCACAGATTCAGAAGGCTAGGGGCACAAAACAAACCCTAAGAAATGTATGCCAAGACATTTCAATGCATAACAGTGGAAGATAAAGTCTTGAAAGCAAACGGAAGGTTGACATCTGATGGACAAGAGGAAAACACTTTGGGTGATATGAATTTCCATGGCTGTGCAGAGCGCTGAGGGAAAACAGCCAAGTTAGATCCCCCCGCCTGATGAACAGCTTCTTCAGGTCTCAGGAGGAAATCAAGGGGTTGCCAGACAAAGAGACACTAAGAGAAGTTGAGACATACAGTAGGCAGCCCTTCTCCTCTCGGGCTTTTCTTGAAGCTTTAAAAGAATATTTGAAAGCTTATGAAGATTAGAACAGGGTCTGCTGCAGTTACCGGTGTCTATAAAGAGAACATTCAAGATGATTGTATAAGGCAAAGCTATAAAAAAAAAAAAAGACGTCTATATGTTTGGCATTTTTAGACGGGTTTCATGTAGCTCAAGCTAGCCTTGACCTCTGACCCTCCTGCCCCTACCTCTTAAGCTCTGGTTGGTTCTGCAGGGCGTGTTCCACCATGCCTGGCTTTGTATCTCACTTGAGCTGCTAAAATGATAAAGCCAATAGGCTGGAAAGTTTTATTAACAGGTGTTCACAGATGTGTCTGATGTCATGAAACACCACAACCAAAAGAAAGTTGGAGAGGAAAGGGTTTATTTGTCTTACACTTCTGTATTATGGTCCATCATTGAAGGAAGTCAGAACAGGAACTCAGACAGGGCAGGAACCTGGTGGCAGGATCTGATGCAGAGGCCATAGAGGAGTGCTGCTTAGTGGCTTGTTCCCTATGGCTTGTTCATTTTGCTTTATCATAGAACCCAGGACCACAGGCTCAGGGATGGCACCACCCATAATCTGCTGTGCCCTTCCCCACAGGTAACTAATTAAGAAATAAGTTAATTTCTAATAGGTAACCCTACAGGCTTGTCTACAGCCTAATATTCTGGAGACATTTTCTCACTTGAGGTTCCCTCCTTTTAGATAACTCTAGTTTGTGTTTCAAGTTGACATAAGACTAACCAGCACAATATGATATAATTACATAATACAGATAGTTAATATCCAGAGCTTCTGAAAAAAAACTTTACAAAGAGGTGAATATTCCAAAATCAAATTTCAAAACATGTGCAGTACCCCACAAAAGTAGAGTTAAAAAAAAGTACAGCTCAATGGCAGAACACCTGCCTGAAACACATGAGGCCATGGTTTTGATGGCATCACAAAAAAGGGGGTGGGGAGGGGAAGCAGGTTCAAGCCCTGCTGCCTTAGTTATTTTCCTATCTCTGTGATTAAAAACAAAACAAAACAAAACAAACAAACAAACAAAAAAAAAACGTTAGCAAAAAAAGCGACTGGGGGAAGAAGGGTTTCTCCTGGCCCACAGCCCATCACGGAGGGAAGGCCAGACAGTGGGAGTTTGTTAGGGCACATCCTTAACCAGGAAGCAGAGAGCAATGACCCATTCTGCTCTTCCTCTCTTGCACAGTCCAGGGTCCCAGCCAGGGAATGGCTCCACCCACAATAGGCTTCCCACCTCAGCTAATGTAATCAAGAGAATCTTTCCAGGCATGCCTAGAGCCCCATCTCCTAGGAGATACTAGACTCCATCAAGGTGACGATTGACAGTAACCGTCACAGCTGCCATTTCAATAATGATATCAAAGGTAAGCCTGCTGACCCCAAATGTCGCATAAAAGAAATGTTCTGGGCTGGAGCTCATCTGTGCAGAGCTGGAAGCCCTGTGATTGCTGGTAAATCGTAGAAGGACACCATGACTCTTTGGAGAGTCCATCTTTGGAGATGGAATCTAGGCTTAAAAATCCCCCAAACAAATCTCTGCCCCTAGATACTTTTAACTAGGAAATCATCCCATATGTCTAAGCGACATCACTCTTCCAGAAAAGAAGAAAGGAAACGAGGTTTTGTAAAGATAATATCTGTCTGCAAAGTGAGTCCAGGACAGTCAAGACTACAGAGAAGCTCTTTCTCAAGACTGCCCCCCCAAAATTAATTTATATAATTCACAGTAGGGAAATCAAGGCCGCAGGAACAGCTGGTCATGTGTCACCCAGTGTCAGGAGTACAGCGCACTGAACGCACGCATACTTACTGCTCAGCACGCTTACCCTCGTCATACCTGTCTCCCGCAGGACTGAGAACACAGCCATGATTGCTGGCCTTGGAAAGGTAAGCCTGCCCACCCCATGAGTGCACTGACTAGAGCCTGGCATTTCCCTGGTGAGGCTGGAGAGCTGCAGCCAGGTGTGGTGCACTCATGTCATCTCAGTACTTGGGAGGGAGAGGCAGGAGGAAGAGGAGTTCAAGGGACCTTTGTTCTTTGTGGTAGGTGAGTTGCTCCAGCTTAGCAGTTAAATGGGGGGGAAAAAACTAGACCAGAGTTTGGAGAGATGGCTCTGAGGCTAAGAGCCTCATCTGTTCTTCCAGAGGTTTTGAGTTCAATTCCCAGCCACAACATGGTGGCTTATAGCCATCTCTACTAGGATCTGTTGCCCTCTTCTGGCACACAGGTGTACATGCAGATAGAACAATCATATACATCAAAATAAATTCAAAACAGCAAGACCGATAAGATGGCTCTGTGGTAAAGGCACCCAGCCTGAAGACCTAAGTTTGATCCCTTAAGCCCACAGGGCAGGAAGACAGAACCGACTCCAGAAACGTGTTCCCAGCCCTCTACGGGCCCTGTGTCATTTGCATTTGAGCACATACACTAAACAACAGACCAGTTTAAAGGGAAACTCTTAGAGAGCTGGTGATGCTGCCCTCACTGCAGACGGTCAGGCCTGCTGTCCCCTTAGAGCTGTACAGTGTGAGGCACCCAGGTCAGACATGGACTAATGGCCTGTCCCCTCTGGAGCATGAGCCTGCTAGCACTTGAGGAACTGGGCGTGCAATGATGGTCACATTGCATCCCCAGGTGGGAAGAGAGAGACAGACACCAGTGCTCCGCGTACTGTCTTCTTTATTCAGTCCAGGACCACAGCCCATGGGGTGGCCCTGCCTGCATCCGGGGTCTGTCTCCCCTCCCCACTTTAGCCTCTTTGCAGTTACGAGCTCTCCTAGGCATACCACCCACAGTGTGTTGCCATAGAGGTTCTAATTCCAGCCAATGAAAACGACCGTCATGCTTGGGGACCCCAGCTGTCCAGGCCCCTCTACTTTCTCTGCCATCCTGAAGTGTCTCCCACTTTCCCGGTCTTCGCTCACAAGGCTGGGAGACCTATTGGGAATCCCAGTCCTCATCCGTGGATCTGAGGCAGCAGCTGTGGCCATCTGTCCTTACTCCAGGGTGCCAAGATGTCTCTTGTCCATTTTCATGGCTCACCGCACTGGAGCTGGATGAGGCAGTCCTTGTCCTTGGCTGGGTATCTGCCGTGGTTTCTGCGGGCCTCTTGTACAGCAATTAGCATGACCTTTACACGTCACAGCAGGTCATCTGAGCCCTTACTAGATCTAATTACACGTACACCAGGCACTTACATTCCTGCTCTGCCTGCCTGGGGCCCGCACGCATCACCTTCACCCAGCAGGCAGCTGTCCAGGAAGCAGTCTTCTCCCTGCAGGTGGAAACCCCTGCTCCTTGGACCCTCGGAGACCTGGGAACCTGTGTGGTCCCTGCTTAGGAGTGAGCCTGCTGCCCCAGTTTCGTATCTCTGTGGAATGACGCTCCTTAGGAGCTGAGATTCCCTCAGGGCTTACTTGCCGTGCTGTCTGTGACACCTGGGGCCTGTAGGGAGCATCCGGTGACCCTGCTAAGCACTTGGGGCGGCTTGGCAGAGCTGGTCCGCACGCCCTGTGGGGCCAGTACAGGAAAGGCTGTTTACGACTGTCAGGCCCTTCAAGCGGATTGCTGCCTCACACCACCACGCTTCTGTGTCCCCAGGCTGCTGAGCTGGTGAGTGACAACTGTGAGGCTTATGAGGCCCACATGAGAGACATCCGAGATTACCTGGAGGAGAGGCTGGAGGTGAGAGGGGGCAAGAGGCCGGCCCTGCAGTCTCACCCACGTGGGAGGCACCAGACACAGTCTCCCTGTGAACGAAGCTCAGTCTGGGGATCTGGGGAGCACAGTAGGTCCCGGGGAAGGATGGGCCAGAACTGGGTGCTGGAAGTTAGCTGGCATCAGAAATCCCCAAAAGGGACCCTGGACCAAGCAGGTATATCTTTTCTCAGTGACACATGGTTGTGTGTAAAGCGTGAATGTGTTCAGTATGTAGCTTTGGGGTACATAGTCTTCCCCATACCTGTTATAACAAGGTAAGCACATGCTGAGATTCTGTTTCAAAAAAAAAAAGTCTAGATATCAAACAGTTGATGGGACAAGGTGACTTGCAAGTGATAACTGTTTCATGGTGGGTGCATGCATACTTGTATGTGTGTGTGTGTGCATACATTCATGCCACATGTGTGTGTGTGTTGGTTTTGTTTTTAGGCTGAATTTGGTAAGAGGATCTGTCTGAACAGCCGGTTTCCAGGTGCAGAGAGGCTTCCAAACACCTGCAACTTTTCCATCCAGGGGGCCCAGCTTCCAGGTGACTATCAGTCTTCCCCTGGACCCTGTGTGTGTTGTAGATTCATGGGATCGGATCCAAGCCAGGACCTGCCCCTGCCCTTGAGTGCCCCCGGGCCATTGCAGCTGATGTTGGCCTGGCAGAGGCCAGGTGGCAGCCGGCTGAGGGCAAAGTGCAGGGTGCTGTGTTCAGGTGGCTTCTCCAGAAGCACTCAGGAACTCAGGGTAGCACGTGATCCAGTTTCCTGAGAGCCCCCAGCCAGGGCCCCAGACCTGGTGGCCCAGAGAATGTGTGAGCCACACCTCAGATGGCCTTTGTCTTCCTGGACGAGGGTGTCACCCCTCACCTCCCCAGGTCACACAGAAGCCTGAAGGATGCAATGGAGACTGAAGCTGAAGCACATGCTTGCTGAGAGGAAGCCGATTTCCTCGCTCTCCTCATAGACCCCTGTGGAGAAAGCTGTTTTCCTATCATCTCCTCCTTTTCTAGGGGATAGCTGTGCGCAGTGATAACCTGTGTTGATTTAGCCTGTCAGGATCCCAATATTGTTGAGGCGGCTGGTTAGAATGCCACTTTCAAAACCAGTCTTAGGAGGCAGAGGAGAGTTGGCCTTTCTGTAGCTGGAAGAAAAGGAAGTCATGTTCCTGGAGTTGCACCTGCATTGGCATTCAGTGGATAACAGCCAAGAACCAGACTGGGAAGGCTGGAAGGGGTGCGAGATGGCCCGAGTCCTGCATCTAGGAACACATGCTGTCTTCACAGGGTACATGGTGCTTGCACAGTGCCGGACACTGCTGGCCAGTGTGGGAGCCTCATGCCACTCAGATCACGAAGACCGGTAGGTATTTGCAGCTGCACCAAACTCGGGTGGAGGTGGGAGTGACTCGGGGCCTAGCCGCCTAGCTGCAGACTCACAGCAGGGAGACAGGTTCTGCTGGTGGCAGGGGCAGGTATGGGTGCCTGCGGGTGGGAGTGGATCCGGGTGAACGGGCTTGGATCTGAGACAGCAGTCAGCCATCAGTAGCAGGTCCAGAGCTGGCGGGATGGCACAGTGGGCACATGAAGGGAGAATGCAGAGAGCCCCTGCGCCAGGCAGCAGAGGAGAGACGGGATCTTTGGGAGGCAGACAATGCCTGGAGTCCAGCACCTGGTGTCCAAGGCTCCCTTAGGAGCAGGGAGACTGAGCTAGCTGGGGAGCAGGGGAGTGGGAGGTTCAGATGGGAAGGGCCCATGGGCTGCCTCGATGAGGCACTAGATGGCATTGCCCAAAGAGCGTTCACCATGACCCCAGACCAGGAGAGGCCAGGAGCCAGGGCTCGGTGCGGAGCTGGTCATAGGTGTTAGGGTTTGGAAGCAGTGTGGCTCCCCATACGAAGCACAAATGGGTACGGGAGGGAATGGGAGAATTTTAGTGGGACCTTACCTATCAGTAGGCTTGAAGGAATGTTTAGGCCAGGGGCCTTGGAGACAGGAGGACTCCAAGAGGCGTCAGCAGGCTAGGTGGGAGGGCACTGAGCAAACAGCACATCCTCTGCTTGAGGATCTGGCTTGGGACACAAAGGAGAGCATGCCCTCAGCACGCTGGCACTGGGCCTCCTCTGCAGGCCATCCCCAGTGCTGCTGAGCTGTGGCATCCCTACGCATGTGGCCCGGAACGCGCTCCGGCTCAGTGTGGGCCGCAGTACCACGAGGGCTGAAGTGGACCTCGTCGTGCAGGACCTGAAGCAGGCCGTGGCCCAGCTAGAGAGCCAGGTCGTGAGCTAGCAGCCACTTTTCCCCTCAGTGGCCAGCTGGACTTTGGCTACTCAGTCCATAGGAAACCCCTTGCAAAAGTCCCTCGGCTGTTCCTTCTCAAGGCCTGCACTGCGATGGCTCTCTTGCTCTGGGGTGATGAGGAGCTGCCTGACACAGAATCCCACTCCAGCCCTCCTCCCCAGAGGCTGAGGACCACACTGCCACATAGGACATCCCCTGCTCCTTCTGCCAAAGGCTAGCTGGGGATGGAAATGTTCCACATATCGGGTAGCTTGTCAGGAACACCTGGCCCCAGGAGTCACTTAGGCTAGAAGACAAAATCCAAGTCTTTGTCCATGTAGCTGCTGTTGTGAAAATAGGAAACGTAATTTTGTCTCTGCCCATGGCCTCCCTTGTGCACCTGCAGAACCCCCACTCCTACCCCCACAGCCCTGCCTCCCTCCTCTGGCCTCGGCTTGCCACACTGCCCTCCTGCCTCCCTGCCCTGATGGTCCAGGGGCCTTATGCCTTTTTCCTGGAGGTCACAGTTCACCTTGCCACATGTCTTTTCTCTCCATTGTACTCAGGGATTCAGCTCCAGCAAGGCTGACAGGAGGCTCATGCCTGATCTGTCTTTGCCAAAGTAGGAAATCTGATCATTTGCACCCAGCTTTAATTTTATTTGCAAAGGTTCCTGTCATCTTGAGGACACGTGGCACACATTGCAACAGTATTTATATAGGAATATCTTCTTGAACAGTGCTTTTAGGTTGTGGATCTGTGGTCCAAAGGGTGATGCAACGTGTGGAAACCCTTGTCAGACATAAACTAAACTAATAAAAGATGTCTGCGCTTGCTGAGATATACTTGGGCTTTTTTCTGGTGGTGGCGGGAGATTTTTGTTGCTGCTGACAAGGCTGATGTATGCCTGTCCGTCTGTCTGAACCAAAGGGGAAGAGGGTCCTGATGTATCACTGTGAAATGACTGCAGCCCGAGGGTTGGAAGGGACTCCCAGTAGACTGAGAGAGGCCCCACTCAGCACCTTCCTGTGGCACCAGGGTGACACCATGCTGGTCCTGAGGTTCTGACTTCCCCAGCCAGGACCATGGATGGTCCAGACTCCCAAGAATGCTGTGGCCTGAGAGAGTCTCACGTAAATGCATACGTGCACACACGTGCGCGCGCACACATACATACACAGAGAGAGTGTGTGTGTGCTGGGGGCCTCCAATGATGGTATTTAGGCACTATGGAGTGTCACACTTGAGGGAGAATTGAGACGTCTCCTGGGCAGACTGCAGTCTCCCTGGAAGATTTGCTGGGGCAAGTTTCTGAGCCTGAGCTGACTGCAGCTGTGAGCATAGTGTTGGAGACCCATCCCAAGCCAGGAGCCCTGCTGAGGCGTCCTCTTGTTTCACTCTGCAGATGATAGGGTTCCGGCTGCCGAGAGGCAGCTGCTGGTCTGACTTGCATACCCCTTCCTCCAGGGCCTGCACTGTCCAGGCTTGGAAGCTCCAGGCACCCAGCCCAGGTTGCTTGAGCCAGGCTTTGAGGGCCAGCCCCCAGGGCCTGCCCCCCTGTGGCTGCCTCCCATCTGCCCGGGAGCTGCTTATCAGGTAACCAGAGCCCACAGCAGCGTCCACGCCTGAAACAGGAAGCCCTGTTGGGCCTGTATACAAGCCGCCACTGAGAATTGGACTTGAGGATGGAGGAGCAGCAGGCACTGGTGGCCTCCAAGGACGGAGATGTGGCCACCTTGGAACGGCTGTTTGAGGCAGGTGCTCTAAGCCCAGGCATCACTGATAACTTGGGGGCTGGCCTGGTGCATCATGCCGCCCGGGCTGGCCACCTGGACTGTGTCAAGTTCCTGGTACAGAGAGCCAAGCTGCCCGGCAACCAGCAGGCACACAACGGGGCCACGCCAGCGCACGATGCAGCGGCCACTGGCAACCTGGCAGAGCTGTGCTGGCTGGTCCGTGACGGGGGCTGCAGGCTGCAGGTAAGCGAGGCTAGGGTAGCTGTATGTCTGCTCTCTGTGAATCTGGCTGAGACGAGTCCAGAAGGTCTGCTCCCCGGAAGGCCTGACTCTCTCTCAATCAGAGATAAATGCCTATGCCTCCCCACCATGTACCCCACCCCCCCAAAAAGAAAAGCAACGCAAAGCCCTTGAATACCAAGGCAACACCATTAGTCACCCTGTGCTGGCACAGAAAAGTCACCTGGATTTTTGCCAACGATGGCCTTGCCTATGTTCAGGATCCCATCTCTGACCAGACCTGATCAATAGAACCTGCTCCCCAAAGGGTCAAGAAGTGAGTTTGTAAAGAGACACCATGGGCACTAAGGATCTTGGAGCCCTGGGGGCACAGGCTGGCAGCCACGCGAGTGAGAAAGCTCTCAGGTCTGGTGATCTTCCTGCTAGAACATTTCTATAGAACTATCAGCCTCCTACAGGCTTGCTTGCCTAGACCTGCTTGGTGCAGGCCAGGGACCGGCTCATGGCGTAGAGCAGTGTGCTCTACCCTCTGCACGCCTTTCACCCACTTTTCCAATGATCGTGGGGGCAGAGGACAGAGACACTGGCCCATTTCCAGACTCACACTGGATCATGGCACCCTCAGGGATTGCCTGGGCCTGCCAGATGCTTGGCACTTTTAGGAGAAATGCCTTGGGGACCACCCCTGGGCAGGGATTAGGGGCAGAGGACTAGAGGCTAGTGTCCTGATACACCCATGGTAGGAATCACTGTGCTAGCAGAAGCCTTTCTGAGCATGTGCAAAATGTGTGCACGAACTCAATTGATCAGGAACGCAGCCAGCTGGGAGTGGGGAGGGATCCCAGAGCCCTGGCCTAGCCCCTTCCTCGGTCAGGGTACTTTTTCAGTCTCCGTAGGGGATGGAGGAACCAGGGAGGGAGCCAGCTGCTGACATTATAGGGCCCTCCAAAAGACTAACCCCAGGCAGCTGGTTCTGGCCTTGCTGGTCTTGCTCCAGCCAGGCTGCGTGGGGGCCTGGGTAGGCTCAGTCTTTTGCCTGTGCCCCGGTAGGACCAAGATGCCTCAGGTGTCTCTCCGCTGCACCTGGCTGCTCGGTTTGGACACCCGGCACTGGTGGAGTGGTTGCTACGTGAAGGCCACGCAGCCACACTGGAGACGCTGGAGGGGGCCTTGCCACTGCACCACGCTGCCGTCAGCGGTGACCTAACCTGTCTGAAACTCCTGACAGCTGCCCACAGCGGGTAAGCCCAAAACCTCACCCAGAGCAACCGGCCCCCAAGGGAGGCTGTACGGAGGGGAGGCAAGAAACGTGCTGGTGGCCCCTGGGGCAGGCCTGTGACTCCAGAGCCAGAGGAAAAGCAGAGCAGATGGCGTGGGTACAGGCTCTGCATGGGCAGGAAGGGCCTTCAGCACAGGTGCAGCATAGCACAGGTTGGGGTGGGGGCTGCAAGAATTGCACCCAAATAGTGCCTTCAGGTCATGCTGACTGGGTCCATCCTCCACACTGGTAAGCCCTGGACTGGACCAACCTCACTGAATCCAAGACCTGTGCCCCACCCTCCTGGGTCTGTGGATGAGGGAAGGTAGGACCAGACCTACTGAGGCAAGAAAGGCAAGAAGGCTTCAATTCTCTCTTCCTTCCTTCCTTCCTTCCTTCCTTCCTTCCTTCCTTCATTGTGTTCTGGTCAGAGCCCTATACAAAGCTCACCTTGCTAGAACGAAGGTGAGCAGGGGGCTTTGTAAAGAAAGAGACTCAAACCCTTGCCCCATGAGTAAACCAGTTCTCAGCCTCAGTTTCCCCTTCTGCCAGCTGAAGCTTGTAATAGCCTCTCCATGATGGAGCAGAGGTGCCCCTCTGGGATGGATCCAAAGTCACTCAGTGAGCTGCAGTGTGTTTGTGAAAGCATGTCATTACTCCCCTGCCTGAGTGGCATCCTGCTCAAGGGGCTCCAGAGCTGAGGACGTGGGACAAGGCCAAAGTACAGTCAGAGACCGAGAAGACAGATCTGCTTGAGCCAGGAGCGGTTAAGACTGCTTATGACTAAGGGAGGCCACCTTTTCCCAGCCCACTGCACAGTGCACACTGCACTGGAGCAAAGCGAAGAGCTGCTCAGTGGCCTCAGAGCCGGGGGTGCAGGGATGCTTATGGGGCAGCCGACACCACTAGCCATAGTGGCCTGGAGGCAGAGAGGACCCTTAGGGGGGTCAAAATTTTGTGTCTCACCAGGGATGACTGAGATTGCAGACTTGGCCAAGACAATGACCCTCCCCCATTTAAATGACTGACATGAGTAAGCTTGACCCAGACAAGGAAAGAGGGGAAGAAAAGACAGATTTTGGGGCTACGGTGCACAGTGCCCATTGAAGCAGAAGCTGGAAGGGATTAGGGAAACTCAGACCATATGGCCAGGAGTCAGGGGTCAAGGGCAAGTCTGTGTCCTGCGGTAGGGCACAGGCCCTCCCTGCAGCTGGTCACTGGGAACCGAGGACTCACTCAGGCCCAAGAGCAGCCTGCAGAAAAGCCCGAAAATGCTGCTGCCCCAGCTCACCCCTCCTGGGCGGTTCTGGGTGCAGGCCTCACGAGCCTCCCTCCATCACAGTGGTGTGAACCAGCGGACACGCAGCGGTGCCTCTCCACTCTACCTGGCCTGCCAGGAGGGCCACCTGCACCTGGCCCAGTTCCTGGTGAAAGACTGTGGGGCCGACGTGCGCCTGCGAGCCCTGGACGGCATGAGCCCCCTGCATGCTGCTGCTGCTCGTGGCCACTACTCTGTAGTTGTCTGGCTGGTAAGGGGGCACTGTGGGGGAAAAGACACCCAGGAAGCCCAGGCCCTAGACTCAGGTAGGCCTGGAAGGGCGCCCTAAGTAGGTGCTGTGGAGCAGACTCCACAGTGTCCTTGCAGGGAAGATGAGGCCAGGGACAAAGGCAGGCCTCAAGGCACTGTGGTGTTGACCAACAAGACAGGCCCAAGGCTATGTGAGCAGCTCTAAGCCAGAGCTGCGGGGGGAGGTGCCACAGCACCCAGGCCTCTAGCAAGCACCCTCCTGGAGGAGCTGAGGCCCCCAAGGGCTGCCTGTGCCGGCATTCTCCCCATCTCTCCTACTGCTGAGTGCCCTACGCAGTGTTCCTCTCTTGCTGTGGCATTCGGCTTGTAGGCTTCCAATGCCGCCATCCTATGCTCACATAATCTGCCTGGGATGCCACAGGTCACAGGGCATGTGGGATGAGCCATCTCTGTCCCGAGGCTTCCAGGGGAGATCCCACTGGCCTCTGAGGATCACAGCTGAGGAGTCCCATCTCTGCTCGAGTGCCCCTGTCCCTCCTTCAGAGTGTCCACTCCAGGTCCTTCCTCAGTGGACAGCCTGCCTGCCTGGGTTCTCTCACCAGGTCGCGCTCACAGACGCCGGCCTGGCAGCACGGGATGACGAAGGGGCCACTGCCCTGCACTTTGCAGCTCGCGGTGGCCACACGCCCGTTCTCCACCGGCTCCTGCTCATGGGCGCCCCCGTCGTGAGGGACTCCTGGGGAGGGACTCCTCTGCATGACGCAGCGGAGAACGGACACATAGAGGTATATTGTGGCGGGGGGGGGGGGGGGGGGG